CAGCTCCCAGGCGGTGGCCCTGGTGGAAGGCTTCCTCCTGAGCCAGGCAGAGAAGGAGAAGGAGTGGACTGAGTGGCAGGTGAGAGATCTTCATTTGGGAGCTCAGAATTGATTAAATCTAATAGTCTAAATCTAACAGTGTGTTCGAATTCTTGACCCTTGCCTACCAGAATTCTTTGGCATTCATTATATGTAGAGAATCTTCTAATTCTTGTAGGACATTGTTCTGTTATTTGTGATAGTTGTTCCTTTCCTATTTTCCAACCACATTGATGGATTCTGGAGCTTCAAAGTGGCATTCACAGAAGAAGAATCTTGATATGTATTGTCCATTCATTCTTCTTGTTTCCTGCCTACTCTTTCAAGTCTTTCACGATGGAGATCAGAGATCCTAAGAGACAGAGACATCCATCAAGTTCATCTCTGGAAATGTTTTTCAGGAAGATCTCTCAGGATGATCCAAATCAAGACACGACCAGAGGTAATACAAGGCTCTCCCATTCTGCAGAGAGATCTCAGCTGTCTCATCTTCTATATGACTTCTCTTCTATAGAACACCACCTCCGGCATTATGAATTATGCAGTGTAAATTCTGTCTCCCTCACAGGGAAGAATAGTAGGAAGTTGAGCCTTCTTGATGGTGGAGCTGAATCAAGGGTTGAAACTCCAATTCAAGTAAGAAGAGGAAATTTTTGTATTAGAATTGTATTCTCCTTTTCCTTCAGAAAGTCAAGGTGGTATACATAGTACAGTCACCTTTCATTTTTTCCTCTTGTCTGAATTGGCTTATTTTTGGGCATCCAAGCAAGGTGAGGCTGTTATTAGGAAATCTTATTTTAAGATCAGCATTTTAAATAAATGCTAATTATTGCCAATTATTATAATAGTTGTAATTACGCTAACTACTATATTTACTTTTCAAATAATTCTTTGTGATAACTCTTCTTTTTGTAATTCTTTGACTTGCATTTGTGCAAGGATGCTCAAAAATAATTAAATATTTACACTGGCAAATTACATTTTTAAAAAAATGTTTTATTTACAATCTGGGATAAGATAAGCGAGTTGGCCACAGCGAGTTGTCCTGCGGTGATTTGGCCATGGCAAGTTAACCATAGTGAGTTTGCTGCGGTCAATTTGTCATAGGTCCCTAAGAAATCTCTTCCTCAGGAAATTTCTTCCGCTTTGTTACCTATCATTCAGTCGATGTCTCAGACTACAAGCCACTTCCTTACAATGTGAGGAGGACCAGTAACAACTTCCTGGATGATCTTTCCCAGCACTTTCATGAAGGTGTTGAGGAGAGACAGGGTTGCTCTTCCTTGGGACACCATGAGACATTTACTAAAATGCTGCAAGGAATCCTATCAGGTTTCCAAGTAATGAAATCCATGTTAAAAGAAAAATTACAAAGTCCATCTTCCAGAAGATTTCTTTCATTTAGGAAAGCATCAAATTGGCAAAGTCCATGGTAATTCTGGATCTGACCCAGCCCGGAATTACCCCACAATATTAGAAGTTAGAAACAACTCCCAAAAGTCACATTCTCCAATAGAAGTAAAACAACGTTGCTTGATGTCATAAATCTCCACCTCCAGGGGCCCAAGTCCATACAGCTCGTTTCCCATGGGAAAGAAAATCACCTAGCCATAACACTCTTCTTATCTCCACTCCTCCCCTCTTAGGAATGTGTGAAGTCCACAACCCTTCCCCCCATGACTACCACAGAGAAAATAAGAAAAAGAATATATACTACCACAAACTAAAATGGCTACACTTTTGACAATTTCAAGCTTGACAAATCCTCCCCCCGAAACACAGAAAAAATACCTTCCGCAAATACAGGAAGGATTGGAGGCACTGATAGGTGGAGTTTTGGAACCCCCAAATACCAATTGATTCCAGACATCTTTGATGGTTGCTGGAGGTTGGATGGGTGGGTGAATGGATGGATGATGGTAGTTCAATTGAACCAGAAGGAAACTGCTGTTGCTTTCACTGAATGGCATTGAATATCCTGCAAAATCAGTAAAATCGATAAAACCTTTACAAACTATTTCTTCCATCAAAAGCTTTTGGCCCTGCCTGTTTTCTCATGTAAACCTTGGAATCCTAACAAGCATCGCCATTTACCTTAGTTACATAAAGTTGCTTGGGAAATTTATAAAAAATAGAACCATTTTTACAATTCTTCCTGGACCTTCTGTGTATTCTCTTTCCCTGTCAGGAGGGCCTTGTCTCTTTCGAGGATGTGGCTGTGTATTTCTCCAAGGAGGAATGGTCTGAACTGGATCCTGACCAAAAAGCTCTGCATTGGGAAGTCATGCTGGAAAATTACAGGAACGTGTCTTTTCTTAGTAAGGATATTTCCTATTCTCCAGTCTCTCACTTATTTTAAAAATTTCAAATAGATGTTATCTCTGGAAAGGAAGCAGGTAGAAATACGCCGTTCTATTCCTCCTAGGAAGGAAATAGATCCGTGGCGTTCTGCTTAGATGCATCCTGTGTCATTTTGCATCTGGTGTATTTTCTATTTCTATTTAAACATGGCAATGACAAAGTAATTTTTTGGCTCTATCACAGATTTCAGCTTTTTTGCCCCAGATAATTCCATATCAATCTTATGAAATATTGTCCTTTAAGTATGTGGATTAACTACTTCTGTTTGATTTCTATTCTGAGCCTTAGAATTGGGGATGAAATGCTGCTGTTTTTCCATTGAAAACATGCAGCTTAAGCTTAATAGAAGAACACTATTTTTTTCTCTTCAATCATGTGATTTTTGGCAAATTAAAAACAAAATGCAAGTGGAATATCGTTTGTATAAGAAGAAAAAGATGAGTTTCAAAGGGGATTTAGTTCTCGCAGGTCTCCCTTGGAATTGGCACCCTTCCAATACATGTTAGGTTATCTCCTAATACATCTTTGGATGCTTCCTCTGATTTTTCTTTAACTCAGAGCTGACTCTTCTTGAGATTTGAATATGTATGGACTATTATAAACAAGAATAATGTTTGCTTGTCCTTAAATCTTTTATGCTTCATTCATGTGGGAATTATCATTTATACCATTGTAAAGAATCAAACATGTAATCTTAGAATTTGAAAAGTTTCAGAAGGCAATAACGATTATTTACCACTGATTGATCCTTTTCTTTAACCTTGCTATCATATTTATTTCTCTTTCCCCTTGAAGGTGATAATGAGCAGGACTATGAAGAGCCAAGGGAATCATTCCAAGGATTCAGACATGGAGACGTAAAGGAGAAGCCTGCAATTCAAACGGAATTCCAAAGGCAGGAGAGAAACCCCTCAAATAATTGGAATAAGGAAAGCTCATCTTCCATTGAGGCTCACATGCAGGAGTTTCTTCAGCAACTGGAAGAAATAGAGAAAAAATATATTGGGAAAGGTGTAAAACTATCCAAAGACACATTAGATGTAAATGAAACCAAAGGACAAGATAATATATGCAAAGACAATGGAAAAAATTACAATTGGACCGTGCTTAGAGCTGGTAGGAAACAATTTGGAAACCCACCACTGATCCACACAGGAGAGAAGCCCCATATATGCACAGAATGTGGAAAGGGCTTCAGACTACTCAGTAATCTTATTTCTCATAAAAGAATCCACACAGGGGAGAAGCCATTTAAATGCATGGAATGTGGAAAGACTTTTACTTATAGGAAACAACTTAGTTCCCATCAATTAATCCACACAGGGGAGAAACCATATAGATGCATGGAGTGTGGAAAGGGCTTTGGCCAACACAGTAAACTTACTACTCATCAAAGGATCCACACAGGGGAGAAACCATTCAAATGCATGGCATGCGGAAAGAGCTTTCGCCACTACAGTGGTCTTACTTGCCATAAAAGGATCCACACAGGAGAGAAACCATTTAAATGCATGGAATGTGGAAAGAGCTTCAGTGTAAACTGCAATCTTACTTCCCATAAGTGGATCCACACAGGAGAGAAACCATTTAAATGCACGGAGTGTGGAAAGACTTTTAGTCAGAGCAGTGCCCTTACTCTCCATAAGAGGATCCACACAGGGGAGAAACCATTTAAATGCACAGATTGTGGAAAAACTTTTAGTCAGAGCCATCACCTTACTCGCCATCAAAGGATCCACACAAGGGAGAAGCCATTTAAATGCATGGAGTGTGGAGAGAGCTTTAGTAGGAGCAATTACCTAATTTCCCATACAGAGATACACTTGAGTGAGAATATATGTTAATTCTAGAAAGGTAATTAAATTTATGGTTTTTTTTCTATTTACAGAGACTGAGCTTAGACATTTTTTTTAGTTTGATCTTCCCGACTGGAGCCTGAGGGAGATGAGTTTATTGATGAAAATGTAAAGAATGGGAACATGCCATTTTAATTATGAACTGCGGATTTTTGAATGTATCTACATTTAGCTACAAAAAGTGAAGCCTCCTATTCCGTAGTTGTTTGTTCTTCCCACTTAATCACACTAAAAGAGTTTAAATTTTTCTCCTTTTTCTTAATCTTAGAATTATTTCACCTTTTCTTATTCCTCATTGCATACTTAGTTTCTTAGAGTTACTGTTCTCTGTCCTCAGAAAAGTTGGAAGTAATGGAGGAGAGAGATTCTAGGCTGTGAAAAAAAAGTTATAATTCAAAGAGAATTCAGGTTCTTTCAAAGTTTAGAGTGAGATGAAATGTGATATTATAAAGTCCTGTTGTGATATTGCCTTAAAAGTGACACGTAAGAGGTTTCCTACTTTCAATTTTTCCCTCTCTTTTAGTCCCAAGTTAGGGCTACTCACTAAAATAACAAAATGATGCCACTGTGCTGACATTGCAAATGATCAAGCAAGAAAGGTGATAATTGCAAATTAGTGGGACCAAAATAAATAATGTGAATTAAGAAAAACTCTTTCAGAAAAACGACTTCTGATCCTCCTGACCAAAATGAGATGGGGAGCCACCTGTGTGATGTGAAGAATTCCAAAGAAGACTCAAAGTTGCATCCACAGTGTAGAACTATGACCTGAGCCAGGTACTATGTATGGAGAAGCCTCATGATCTGAGGGAATTGTCACATGCACATCAATGTACAGTGCATGAGAAGAACTGAAGGGATGGAGGATTCCTCTCACAAAAGGAACTACAATGATTGGAAGCCACCCCAAATGCATGTGCAAAATCTTTTTTCAAGCATTGCAGCCATATTTTACTCTTCTAAAGTGTGATGAGAATTAAGTCATCTAAAGTTGATTTAAATAAAGTCAATTAAATATCAATGGTATGGTTACTTTCCAGTCATGTATCAAGCTCTTTTTCTCTGTAGTTGAATTAACAATATAGTAACAGTAGAGGCATAATCCCTCCCAACACTGATGATCCGTCTTGGTGGTAAGCTGTGGTTGGCATCCCACCTGCATAGGTTCTTTTGGGGAAGCGGTTTCTCCTGGAGCTTTGCCAGTCGGGGTGATTCCACTGTTCTGCTGTTACTGGAGCCATCTGTCTATAGGCACTCAGAGGTGCATGAGGACCTATAAATTGCTGGGATGGTCCATCTGGGCCAGTTCATTCAGAAGCTTCAATGACAGGGCTTCCTGGAACTGATGAATGAAGGCCTCCTGGTTCCACCTCAGGTCCTGGCTCATCAATTGGAAGTTGCTGGTATATCCTGTGACTGACTCAAACCTGCTTTAGCTCAGCAGCCATTGGTTCATCTTCTGGGCCTTCACAGGGTCCTCAAATATAGTCATCAGTTGGAATTGGGTAGAGAACCCTGCCAGCGGTGGATTCAATTTTTTTTTACTACTAGTTCTGTGGGCGTGGCTTGATGGGTGAGGCAGGGGAAGGATACTGTAAACTCTCCAGTCAAAGGTGGTATTTGTGCTACTGGTTCTCCAGAACTGGTCAGAACCTGAAGAATACCACCTCTGAGAATAGTCACCCGAAAGCGTCAAAAAGTGGGGACAATGTCAAAAATACCTGACATTGTCCCCCAAACCAGGAAACTACTTCAAAGTCCCATCAAATTTCTCTGGCACCAGGACTGGGCATTTCCGATCACAATGACCTTTGTTACTCCTGCCTTTTCTCTGCCCTATGTGTTCTTGGATCAAGTGCAGAAAGCAGTTCTTCCTCTTCCCCACCTGAAGCCTCAGGGCTATCCTCCTGCATCTGTGCTTCAGCCAAATCCTGCTCAGATAGTTGCTTGGAGTCATTGACCAACTCCCCTCCAGACGTGCCTGGAACTGGTTTATCTTCCTCCAAGTTTACATCTGGGGAAATATCTGGGGAAGCATCCGGGCCAGTCACAACATCTGCATGTACATTACATCTATAGGGTAAATGTACATCACATCTACGTATTTATGGAGGAAGGCAAACACTGGAGTACCTCAAGGTTCTGCCTTAGACACAATAATCTTCAACATCTTCATTAACAATTTAGATGAGGGGATAGAATGGAACTATAAAATTTGTGGAAAAACCACCAAGCTAGAGGGAATAGCCAATGGTTTATAACGGGTGTAAAACTGGTGGGCCAGATGCATCATGCACAGGCCACACCTACCCCAGTTCCACAAAGGCAAAAAATGCCATGATACATCACAGTACCTCACATGACGCGATCAAGTTTGACACATGTAGTTTATAACCCAAAAGGATCTTGACAGACTTGAATACTGAACCCTATCTGATGAGAAAAGTAAGATTTTAAACCTTAGCCAAGAAAAAAAGAAATGTACTATATGGAAAATATTGTATCTGGTTCAACAGTAGTAATTGTGAGAGCGATCTAGAGTCTTCGGGGGATCATCACTTAAATATGAGCAAGCAGTATGTTGCAGCTACCAAAAAAGCCAATGCAGCCCTAGGATGCATCAACAGAGGGACAGTATCAAGATCATGTGAAGATTTAGTTCCCCTTTATACTGCACTGGTAAGACTACACTTGGAGAGAGAGAGAGAAGAACAACAAAGATGAGGGGGCAGGAGACTAAAACATGAAGAGCAGATGCAGGAACAGGATAGGTCTAATCAAAGGAAGAGAAGGATTAGGAATGGCATAACAGAAGTCTTTCAATACTGAGGGGCTGCCACGGATAAGAGGTCAACCTATTCTCCAAAGAACTAATGGCAACATAAGAAATAATGGAAGAAAACTTATCAAAGAGATACTGGTATAAATCACCAGGACCTTATGGATTACATCTCAGAGTTCTGAAGGAGCTGGTACAGAGGCGGTATTTAGCAGGTTCTGACAGATTCTGGAGAACTGGTAGTGGAAATTTTGAGTAATTCGGAGAACCGGCAAATGCAACCTCTGACTGGCTCCGCCCCCAGCTATTCTCTGCCTCCCAAGTCTCAGCTGATGGGCTGGGTCTTCTTTGGTTGCCCTGGCCAGGAAAACAGAGCTGGAAAGCAGGTTAGTGGGGTGGGGAGAGAATGGATATTTTGCAGTATCCTTTCCCTGCCATGCCCACCAAGCCACGCCCATAGAACCGGTAGTAAAATTTTTGAACCCCACCACTGAGCTGGCAGATATGATCTCAGAACTATTGTACCATATCTTTAAAAAATCTGGAACACTAGGAACTGCCAGAGGATTGGAAAAGAGCTGATGTGGTTCCCATCTTCAAAAAAAAAAAAAAAAAAGAGGGGGGGAAACAGACTTAGGAAACTATGGACCAATCAGTCTAACATCAATATCTGGGAAAATCCTGGAAATAATAATAATAAAACAGAACTGTGAAAATCTATAAACCAATAAAGTTATAACTAGTAGCTAGCAAAGGGTTGTTAAAAACATCATGCCAAATCAATCTTATTTTATTCTTTGACAAAGTGACTAAATTAGAAGACCAGCAAAATACTGTGGACATAGTATACCTACACTTCAGCAAGGCATTTGATAAAGTAGACCACAACCTGCTTTTTAGTAAATTAGAAAAATGTGGGATAGTCAGCATCAATCAGTCAATCAGAATGCAGCTAAAAGGGACCTTGGAGATCTTCTAGTCCACCCCCCTGCTCAAGCAAGAGATCTTAAACCATTACAGACAAGTGACTGTCCAGTCTCTTCTTAAAAACCTCCAGTGATGACGCACCCACAACTTCTGAAGGCAAGCTGTTCAACTGGTTAATTGTCCTCAGTTTTATGAAGTTTCTCCTTAATTCCAGGTTGCTTCTCTCCATTGTTTCTTTTTTGAAAATTTTATTTGGGTTTTCCCATAACACAAATAAAAAATCTTTTTTTTAAAAAAAAATAGCGTGGTCCCGAGTTACACTTCTTCATACAGACACAAATTCAATTTCATGCTCATTCTTGTGTTCTATTCCATATCTTATTACTGTTTTACATTTTCTACATAGTTTTTCCCCTCTTTTAATTTTCTCAACTTTATTTTGATTATCTCATCTCAATTCAAATCATTATATTTATATTTTTGTCTGTCCTGTTTCAATTTCATATTATTTTTTCTCATTAAATTTTCTCCTGTAGTTACTAACTGGAGTATGACGCCTTTATATCTTTTAATTTTATCCATTCAACTCTTATTTAAGCTTCAATGTATACCTTTAAGATTATAACATTCAATATAATACATAACTTCCAATCGAATTCTGCTTGGTACATTCTTAAAATACACACTATATTCTTTAAAAAAGATTATATATATATGTAAATAAAACACTCATTCCATTCCAATTCAGTTCTATCATTAATATTCATTAACATCTTAACATCTTTAACATTTCTTTTCAATTAAATATACTTCCTTGGGACCACTTATAAACTTTCCATAATTAATTTGTTTTCCATATTTCTCTTCACTTATATTTTATAAATCATTAATAATAATTAAAATGTTCCCATCCTTTCCTAATTTAATTCTCTCATTCACTTTATTTCATTTGTTTATTAACAAGCATTCCACTAGATTACAATAAATATTTTATCCATCATTTTCAGCATATTTTGAAAGATTATTTCTATTTGTAATATAACAATACTATCTTATGTACCTTTGCAGAATCCCTTTTATAATTAAGTTTTCACCCATTATCTTTAAACAGGCTTATACTTTCAATTCTTATACCTTTGCCCTGTTTCTCTATATCTTGTTTCTGTCCTTTATAACTTCTTTTCCCTTCCTTCTTCCGTCTCTTCTTCTCCCTCCCCCTTTTACCCCCTTGTCTCTCTACTTCTAATTCTCTCTTCTGTAATCCCCTCTTCTGTTGCTTTCTAATATTATACTTATTTTTCAAACTATTCTTCTTTTTTTGGTTGTTTTTTCAAATCTTAAACTTTTCATTCTCTTTCCCCCCTTTCCTTTTTTTCCCCCATATAAAATTACTTGATCATTAAAGATGGCTTCTTCTTTGTCCCAATCTTCTTGTTCTGCTAGCGTTTCTTGTTGTTTTTCATAGTTCCAGATCTCCATTTCTAAGAGTTGAAATATGAAGCCAAAAGAACCTCTCCCTTCTTGTGCATCTTCTTTGTACTTTTTAAGTTTCATTTTCAGTTCTTCTAAAAGTGGTGCCATTTTAAACACTTTTAAACAACCACCTGATTGATTTTAGTCATTTAAATGCAGTAACCAAAAATCCAGAGATCATCAAGTAATCCAAATAATCCCAAACTGTTTCTTCTTGCTTCTTTTTTCAATTATCTCTTCCTGGGGTCCTACTATTTTGTTGCCAAGTTTCAGTTAAAAATGTATCTTTTAGGAATCTTGTTGAGGTTTTAGTTCCAGGCAGTCGCCTCCATTTTTCCAGATCCTGCCATTTTATTCTTTTTCTCTCCTTTCCTGCTTTTAAAAGCTTTTAAGTATCCAGAAATCTTTATTATCCCTTTGACATTTTATTTTCAGCTTAAATGCCTGTTGATGTCAAAGTGGTTTTTTTTTTCAATTTCTTGCTTAAGTCTCTTAGCTGTCAGTATATAGAGGGGAAGAGAAAAAACAAACCAAATCCTTTCCCTTTTCTCTCTCCTTCGCTGCTTCAAAATCTTTGGGAATAATGTTATTTTTTATAGTTTAAATACCAGGGTACCTTGCATTGTTGCTTTTGCAGTTTAACCCAGTCAACCAAGATTTCCACTTCTTATCTTCCTCCTGCACATTCTTTTCTAGTCGAGTTCTTCTTTGAGGTGGCCATTTCTGACCACCGCTGCAACCACCTTTGGGAAAGAGAGCAATGGCCAGCTGAGGAGGAAAGATGAGGC